ATTGCATTGCTTATATGATCAGACGAAAGGGTTAGTCGCTAAATTGAACACGGATCTTGAACGTTTCAAGTGCTATTTGTTGAATTGTTACTACCAGTATCGCAAACACCGCGTCCGTAATCATAGTCCGCTAACCAGAAGGCATCTAGATGCGCTGAATTAAATATGGCTGAGTCGGATACGGCAGGCAACATGTAGAAGAACGTCTCCTCGAATGCCGAAAATTGGTGCTTGAAACAGACCATTGTCTTCACAGAGTTGCCGTCGAGGCATTTAGCAAAAACGCATGTGCGATAACCACTGAGTTCAGCGGCCAATTCATGCAGCAGCCTAGGATAAAGTGAATCCGGGCCGGAAACTTCGGAGGGGTTTATGCCCTGCGAGAACTGAAGTCTTGAGTCTCCGTTATGTTAAAGGCAGCTAAACAAGAATCCTCTACTTCTACTGAAACCAATTCAGCCTGTGGTAGAGAGGCATCACGAACAAAGATGACAGTATACTATTTGCTAAGTATGGAAAAGTTTACATAATAAGTATGCACAAGAGTCCCGTCTGCTCTCAGTAGCGCGATAAATAGACAGTAACACCGCGCTGCGCCTCTTCAAGTAGGGAAAGAACTTCTTGGGATTAGCGACCAGGAGTCAATCAAACACTTATCGTATTAGAGACGAGCAGTCTTCAGATGTTGCTTAAATATACTTCGAATTTGCGATAACAGTCGTAGTTACTGGCTAATGTACCAGCTTGGTAGGTTCACTAGAATGTAAACTGTTCCTTGGGGAGGTGTTTGCCTGTGGAATCTATACACGGAGTTTGTGTCCGATTCACTCTTCACTCATGAGTGAAATGTAAAGAACAAACCTCAGTAAGTGGTATGGGGATAAAGCGTCTCTTCACTGATCAAAAGATAAACCACGGAAGTCAATGAGATTCGATCAAAACAGGTGCACATGTTTCGCTCAGCCTCCCAACTCGTGAGACATCACGTTTCGATTAGCCTTTGTACCACAGAAAATATTCATATTTCTGGACAACACAATCATAAAACTCTTAGCATTTATTAACCTAAAAAACATTAAGTTTTCCAGTCCAGCCTACGCATCAAACAACATTCACTTTACAACATGTTCCGTTGGTACACTTCCATAGTGCCAGTACAGTTGCTTCCATGGTTTTCTCACGCAAACCACTGACACTATCGAGGTATAAAAGAAACGCTGGACTGTGCTGTAATCGCCTTGAGCCTGGCCGGTAAAAGTGCCTGCACGAAAGTCCTGTCTTTTTGTCTTGTTCTCTGGGGGTTGGGTAGTTGCATGTGAAATTGTGTTCGGTCTAGGAGCCCGTACAACTCACTCGTAGTAACTTCCTTGCGCCTAAGTCTCACGGGTCACACAACTTCGCATTTTGTTGGTTACTTTGTCGTGCCTGAAATAGTCCTAGGCCATATTCGTTCAGCCGACTAGGCGATTTGATGCCAGATCGACAGAGCGTGGCGTAACCAAGAGGCAGTTGTAACAAAGTGGTGCCGAGTTGCTTTGAACCATGGAGATTGCGTACAATGCTTTAACTCGCCGTTTCAACAACAGCTCAGTTTGCTGTCTACTTTAACAGAAGAACTTTCAAGTTCCTCCATTCAGTCATGTTCCGCTGGAAACTCAATCGGTTGACAATATTGCTGACAGTATCTCGGAGTTCCTGTACGATCGTGACGTTCATGTTATCTTCGATTCTTGGTATAAGCGGCACGAGAACCTATTCGCCGTTGACCACGCTTGCCAGGGTGACGCGTGTATGGTCCGGCTGCTTCTGCGCAAACTCGGCACGATCGAGCACAAACGGTATGTCAACTTCCTCTTGCCAAAGAACTCTTGCGACCTCACACTGGTTGAGGCGGTCCGCATATTGTCACAGATTTTGGCAAAACGTCCTCGTTGTTCAACACCCGGTTTCAATGTCTGCAGCTGGCCAAGAGGGATGCCGATGATTTCATCACCTATGCGGGTATCTTCAATCGGGAATGCGACCGATTCCAACTTGGTTCCTGATACGTATTACTCGAGTATTGCTGGATCGCACCTGGACCCTTAGTCCGCACAAGAAGTGAATAAGAACACACACTGGATGAGACGTGTCAAAACTGTAATAGATAGCTTGTAGGTTACACCAGATGAATAAGTCGAAAAGGAACCAATCAGCACAAGGAAAAAGAGTGGACGAATCAGCTATCGGTCAATCGATCTGTGTGTGTCTGTGTTTGCTCATCGGCTCAGTGGTTTAGCGGACGACACACATGTAACACCCCCTCACGTGACAGATGGAATCACAGTTGTGAAATGTAACGTTCTATCGGCTTAGGTGAGCGGTGCGGTTTCCGAATAGCAATCGGCTGATGGATTTCTTCCGTTTGGTTTTTGTTTGTCTCCTCCAGATCTTCTGGAACCACTTTCGCTTTCCCAGGGTACGGTGTAAGTGGGGTGCGGGGTCGGATGAAATCATTGTGCCTGCGTACTGTCTCTCCACTCTTTAGTTGGATTTCGGCATCCGTTTCTGAGCTCGTAAGCACGGTGCCAGGCTGCCATAACTGCTCATGTGGTAGTTTCGTGTAAACATCACGTTCCACTATCGACGTCTGGGGCTTAACTGGTGTGCGTCCACTTTCATGCATACGTTGATGCTGTCAACGCCTGGTCTGACGAGGGTCTGGAAAAAGTAGGTCTAGCCTCGTACGTAGTCGACGCCCAAACATTGCCTCCCCAGGGCTCTTTCCGATAGACTCTAGCGGTGTGATCCGATATGCGAACAAGAATCAGTCAAATTTGGTTCGTAACTAGCCATTACGCTGCTTTAGAAGACCAGCTTTCACGGTTTGGACCGCTCTTTCAGCTAAACCGTTTGACGCTGGATGGTACGGTGCGGAAGTCATGTGATGAACGCCGTTGCTCTGCAGGTATTCTTTGAACGCTGCACTCGTAAATTGCGGACCGTTGTCAGTGACTAATGTTTTCGGTATGCCATGTGTAGATAGACTAGAGCGTACACCATTGATTGTAGCTTCTGCAGTAGCGTTTGCAACAACATGCACATCAATCCATTTGGAGCACGCATCTACTAAAAGTAGCAACATTTTTCCTTCGATCGGGCCAAAGTAATCGGCATGGACTCGTTCCTATGGACTGTCGGGCAACGGCTAAGGGTGAATTGGGCCTGTTGGATTATCTCTTTGACATTTTTGGCATGTGTTACAAGTACTTAAAAGTTCTTCGATGTCTCGGTCAATCGCTGGCCACCAGCAGTAGGATCTGGTGAGGGCTTTCATGCGGACAATACCTGGATATGCATCATGTAATTCTTTCAGTACAGCTGACCTGAGAGTCAATGGAATAACGATGCGAGATCCACGTAGGATACATCCTTCATGCAGGCGCAGCTGAAATCTACAATTGAAAAACGGAAGCAGATAACCAGGGGCTCACGAACCCCAGTCACGCAGCAGCATACGTTTCACAGTCGATAGAACGGGATCTCTGTCTGTAGCTTTCCTAACCATGTCGCCAGATATAGGTGTAGTATACAGGTGTTGCAAAAGTTGAACAAACTCGTAGGGCGCGTCACTTCTTTCCTCCTGTTGGTCAATCTGTGGCAATCTACTGAGCGCATCAGCGACATTATTGTGAGGACCGGCAATGTATCGGATTTGATAATTGTAAGCAGAAAGTAGGAGGGCCCAGCGGTAAAAATACACTACAACAATAAAAAAAAAGATATCACCAACCAAAATTACGAAAGGAGCATAAGCCAAAAAAAAGAAAATCGAAGTATAAATAACCCCGAAACATAAACTAACGCAAATAGTATAATATACAAACAATATAAAAAATAAAAATTAAGAGATAAGAATAGGTAAATAGACTACCATAACTATATAATTAAATAAAGTAAAAAAAACAACTAAACAAAGAACCTAGAATCATGCACTACCTAACCACCCCTGACCTCACTCGCTCCCACACCCCACTCCAACCGCTCCCTCCCTCCACCTGCCCTGACAGCCCACCGCCACTACATCTCTTCGCCCTACCCCCTACCTCCATCCATTCCCCCCGAGGTGCCAACCCTACACTCCCACCAACCGCCTACTGTCTTCACCACAGACCGCCAGCCCACGGTCCCGCACCCTGTATCCCGCCACGGGTCACCCCCACTCCCTCCCCTTCGACAAAACTCCCTTAACCCCACCTGCCCCACTCACAACCATATCGTACATCCTCACTCCCCACACTCTACCCCTTGCCGTATCACCCACCGACTCCCCCCGACCACTCCGCCTCCCTCCCGGCCCCTCAGCGCACATCTTAAACCGACATGCCTACCCACACAACCTTCCATCGATACCGCCCCCCTCCTCACCACACCACCACCCCCAAGCACCCCCACCCAAACCCCCTCATCCCCCCACCTTGCGACACCCTCCGCCCAATCCCCAACCGCCGCCAGAACCACACGCGCAACCAAAAAAAGTAAATAAACACACACGCACACTACCCCTAGCGAAGCCCCCGAATCTAAGGATACCGGCCTACCCCCCCCCATAGCGTTCCTGGGCCGGACCAAGTCAGACCACCACCAATAGCGAAGACACAATAATATATTATATAGAAAAATAAAATAAAAACATAATAAGAGGGGAGCCATGACCACACACAGCAACTCAACCAAACACCGCCAAAAAACAACCCACGTGCCACGTACACCCACGCGGCCCCCGCACCAACCCCCCCCACCCAAGCCTGAACACAACCGATGATTATAAGTTAATAGCCCCTAAAAATAACATAAGACAAAGAAAAAGAGAACCAGAAAGAAGAGAAAGAAGAATAGACATAACGAAATCGAACGACAACTGCCTGGACACCCGCGATACCCCCTCTTCATAAGACCCCCCCCCCCCCGCCAGGCCTACCCTCCCCCGACCTCCCCAAACCACCCCGACCCTAACACTCATGACCACCCCACATTCCTGGACCCCCACCTACTCATCCCACCTCCCAACCGCTCCTCCCCCCACTAACCCACCCTCTCGCCTACCCCACGCCCATCACATGTGTCCCCGGCAACCCCCTCGGCGCCACCTTGACCCCGCCACCGCACACCGTCGACACCCCGCCAAACTCGACAACGCACGCCCCCAACACCCCAGACCCGAACCACCACCCCCGACACCTCCCGACGGAGCCCGCCGCACCCGCGCTCACCCCGCCACGCACATCCCCACGCCCCACCCTATTCACCACCCGCCGATGTCCTCCGGCACATCCACGCTTCGCGCTCGGCCCGCAGCCCCCATCCGGACCCGAGCTCCCGACTAATCTCGATCTCCACACCACCCCCCAGTCGCTTCTCTAACCCTCCCGGACACACCGCATCTCCCACCCGCTACCGCACGGCCCCCGCACACCCCCGACCCCCCCCCCTCTGGCCCTAGCACCCTACAAGACCACCCACCCGACGGCGGCCCACCGCCGAACGCCCACCGAAACCGCGAGCCAAAGCCTGCCAACCCTCTATGCCACCACACTCACCACCTACACACGCACCAACCCCGCTCGGCCACGCCTTCGCACCTCCACGTGCACATCCTCCCGCCACTCACACACTTACTCCAAAGCAACCCCCCGCACACACCTTGCCCCCTAAACCCCGCACACTTTTACACCTCCGTCATCGACCCCCGGCCCCCCTGTCCCCCTCGTACCTCTCCCCCCCCCTAGGCCCGCACCCCCACACCCTCCCTTCGCCGCGTCTCCCCCCCCCCCCCCCGTCCCCGCCCCTCCCACTACCCGCCTGGGCCAGCGCCCCCCAACAAAAGCAAAAAACAAGTCCCGACCCCAACTGCAACACAGTCTCACCCCGCAGGACCCCCAACCGAACCCTCGGTACAAAAAAATCAACTCAAGGACCGGGGAGTAACAACCAACCGTACAGGTCGCCCCCCCACAAGTCATGAAGAAAATACCTATAAGCATGGCTTCAACTACCCACGAACCACCCCCCCCCACCCTTCGCAACACAACCTCGCACACTCGACCCCCCTCAGCACAACTCCACTAATCGCTCACACACCTACCATACCCCCCGGCCTGCGATCCCACCCCAACTACTAACTGCACACTACAGTCCACATACCGACCGCAGCCCACCCCCCACCCCCTTCTCGTACGCTCCCACACCAGCCCAACGGCGCAGCGAACCTTATCCGATACTAAGCCACGATCCAAACCGCTCCTATCACCCCGAGGTAAATCATCACCACAGTTCTCACCACAGGATAGCCCCCCCATTCCAGTGAGGCCCCGCTATACTCCGCATCCTCCGCCAGTGCTTCCAAGCTACTAATAGCTACCGATATTTCATCAGCCGTAAGTACGTGCGGTAACAGCGAAATCACAAGGGCGACCTGTTACCGACGTGACTTTATGTCCCAGCACATGCCCCGACCCCAACCGGTTAGCCGCATCCCCGGTAGGATGAGGGTTTGTTGGGGTCGTAATG